TCATGAAAATTTCAAACCCAAACAAGACACATCTAACGCAAGTATGAATGAAAATGTTAATGAACTATCTACCAAAAACAAAGACAAATTCATCAATTTTTCAAACCAAAAAAAAATATTCAAAAGGGTACATGTAATTCTTTAAACAGGGGAGAAAGTCATCCCAATTAAGTAGCATCTAACCTGTTCACCAGGAGTATAATTACGATCAGCAAGTACCTGCCCAGAAACAAGTAGCATATGCCACAACTTATCTCAATAACTAAACCAAAAGAAAGAAAAATGAAATAAAAAATAATTAATTTCCATAAGAGTGCAGACTGAATTCCTATTACCAAATGAATAAGCATGGCAGAAAATCAACACACCGAGAGAAAGAGAGGGTACCTCTGAAAAAAGTTTGTCTTCATCACTCAACACAATTGATTCTGAAGTCCCGTCATGATTCAAAAAATCAGCAAATGGGATCTATAGAATAATTTAATAATCCAAACAATTATGCAACTACAAAAAGGCACACATTAAATTAAACTCCATCATAACAATATTTACTTGAAATCTGTATAAATGTTTACCAGGGAATAGCCCTTTGTGCTTCCCCATGCTCGAGAAGTAACTGTAAAATCCATGGCGAACCAGCGAGAATAAGTTTTAAAAGATCTTTAAGAGATGCAACTGCCACAAGTAATTTGGATGCAATTTTAAAGTTTTAGGGGCACTCCAAGTCCTAAAGCATGTAACATGCCTACCCCACCATTCCCTAATTTTATTCAAAAGTTGTAATTAAGTGCAATTGGAGCAAATAATTCTGACAGATTAGAACAAGTAAATGGTTTAAAGCGTAGTTGCTTACCTAAAGCATATGCATGCATGAAATCCTCATAGGTGATACTTTCGAATGTTTCAGGAAAGTTCTTGAGAGCCTGAAAATATATCTTAACAATATTCATAATCTAAGAGGCAATAACTAAGAAGAAGTGCAACAACCCCATGTCCCAAAACCATTAGCTAGAGAATAAAACAATCAAAGTACATCATACCGTCCTAATTGCCAAAAACTCCTGTTGTATTTGAGATCTTTGATTAATTGTTTCCTGATACACAGAGCTTTGACGAATCATCTCCAGCTCACCTTCGCTCCAAAATATCTAAGAATATACAAATAACATCCATGTCAAATATGGTGCAAATTGCTGTGATTCAAGAAATGTATACAACCATACAAATTAAAAACACGTTATGGACTAATATCAGGTAGATTCTTATTTCAATTGACAGAATAACAACATAACGTGCTAAATTTCTCCAGCAAAAACATTATCCACATGCCAAGAACATTTAATCTAAACCCCAATAGGAGCCTAAGAATGGGAAGGGGCAAGTTAAAAAGCATAACACTCACTGTGTTATGCATCTCCTCTGGGCGAGGAAGACGGCTTATGTAAGGGGCCCATTCAGAATCCTGCATAAACAAAAACCTCAATCTCTGCAACAAAATCTTTCCACATTTTCAAGTAAACCAGTACCATAAATAAAAACCAAAAATGAAGTAAACCACAGAACAGTAATGTTACATGGCCCATTTTCTGCTCAAGCAAAACAACAATGGCGAGCTTGGCAACATCGCCAACATCATCACTTAGCAAAGCTTTCAGTTCAGGATTGAGATTATCCGGAGCTAGCTGCTGCAATTTCAATTAACTAAACTCATTAACCATAAATTGATACTTAATTCTGTTATTAGACTCTTAATGATTTTGGTGTTAAGATCAAACGGCACCACATACCGCGTTGAATGGAACCTTCAATATGCAGTCTCCGGCTCTTATGGTCTTCGAAGCAAACAGAGACCTTCCGTAGGCCGATTTCCCAATCGAAAGCACGGACGATATCTTGGTGCTGGCCTTGCGCTCCAACCACGGCAAGAAGTCGTCCAATTCCTCGACCTGACAGAGAGAATGCAACGAGGCTGAGATGTGGGAGTTGAGCTTGGTGCTTGGAGTATGGGAGAGGCTGAGATTTGGACGACGAGGACACCAGTGTATGCTGATTTTTCGAGCTCCCAGCAGCATTGCGTTGCAGGGACCAGACGTCGTCGTTTTCGGTTCTGTAGAGTGTTGGCGCTATGTTGGCCTAGGAGCATCTCCGCCCCTAACGGCAAGGGCAGGGCAAAGTCAAGGCAAGGTTTGTCACTATTTATGTGAATAGTGGCAGCTTTAGTCTTTTTTGTTTTCACCCCAAAGGGCAAGGGCAAAGGCAATTACTATTTATTTTCTATTTTTTATACTTAAACTATTAATTTTAGCGTGGAAAGTGAAAAATATGATTAGCTATTTATAAATATAAAAATTCTGAAAAATTTTGGTTTATTTTTTTGATCTTTTTTAATTTTTTTTCCGTTGCTGATGTCATTGATGACGTCAGCAAACCCATGCAAGATTTGCCTTTGGGCCTGCCCAGGCGTGTGGACCCCATCAACTACCCGGTCTTGACATTGAGCGCTAGAACCAAATGCTGGGCCTAGGCCGCCTCTTGCCCCAGCAAAAGAGCAGCGCTGGAGGTACTCTAAGGGTGGGCATTGAGACCGGAAAAAAATTGTATTGACTAAAAAGTCAACAAATCGGTAACGGACTGGAATAGACTGGTTTAAACTGGTTTTGGTATCGGTTTCACACCTTATAAAACCGGATTAGACCCATTGTGTATTTTTTTAATTTTTTTAAAGTTATTTAAGTCCAATGCTAAATTTCTAATCTTATAACTAATATTTTTCCAAGCTCAACTTTAAAGCACCTCTTTTTTCTAGGCTCAATCATCTCTCTTTGCATGAAATTGGGTCATTTGTGAATTTTTAAGCCCAAAAAATAAAATAAAAAATTGTTGTATTTTATTATATATAAAATTAAAAAAAAAACATATGGTCCAAATACCGAAAACTGCACTGGAACCGGTTTAAATTGGACTAATTGGTTTCATAAATTTTTTTCTCCAAAACCTGACCAAACCGCACCAATTGAATAGTACCAATTTCGGTATGAGGTAGAAACCTGGCCTAACCGCACCTACCCGTATATTGGCCTATCCACGCGGAGAAGGTAGCGCACCATTTTTTTTTTAACAACCTTTTCTATTACGATAGGCAATAATATACTAAACTCACACACACAACACGTATACTAGAACTTGAACCGCTTTTAAGGGTTAAGCTTTGTGATTTACTTGCTAGGATAACTTCTTCGAGTTTA